AAGATTCCCTTCTCAAAATTGAGATTTTTCTATACTTTTTCTTCACTTTACTATATATTCTTTTTTGAAACTAAGATTTTGATTATCATATATATCTAATATTTTTTAACCATTAGTCCTGATTATTTATATTTCCTTTTGCCTCATATTGGAGGCAAGAATTTTGAGTTAATTCTCCTAGAAAGCTATATATGATATCACTCTCTTTTTTTTTTTTCAAAGAATTTGGTGGAAAATTAATAGGGCAAAGTTGTTGGCATGTCCATTTTGGTTTTGGTTTTTGGTGCATGTGCAATCCCTTTTCCTCTCAATTTTTTTTGGGAAGCTTCTTCTTCACCCATGCTTAAATTAACTTTCTTTTCTGAAAAAAAAAAAAAGGTTCTATCCCAAACTTCCTACACTAACACGATCCGGTGCTAAAAAAGATCAAAGATATCAGCTCAATCTTCTTACCTAATGCAAAAGACCAGACATCTCACTTTCAAATTTGTTGATGTTCATGGCCTGTCTTTTTTGGGTGACAAGTTGTTATCAGCGAAGAAAATTTTCCATTTTTTTTTTCTGTTGCAATATCAATGGACATTTGTTTATCTTAAATGAGTTTTTTTTTTTTTTCTCATTTTATACGCAAATTTTTTTACATCCTCTTTGCTTGCCTCATCCACATATCAAAAAATGTTTATTTTAAGCTCAAGTAAAAAAAAAATGAAAATTAAGTATCCAACTTATTTCATCAGATACTTAAATCAAAATAATTTAAGAACTTACTTAAATAATCCACTTTATAATTTTTTTCCTTTTCTTTAACATAGGAAAATTTCAGAGAGGAGAATTTTTTTTTCAAATCACTCATAAAAATCAAACTCTCAACTATTTAAACTTAAATATTTAAGATTTAAAAATGAATCATGAAGCTTTTAACCCGATTCATTACCCACTTTATAATTTAGCTAATGAAAAAAAAAATCAAGATTGAGTTCTTTTTATGACCGTCAGAATAATCAAGATTTGGTTGGAATGACAATTTGGCTTTAATGAAATTGTCCCTGTCTTTTTTTGAACCGCAGTAGAAAGATATTGCATCTGTCACAAGCAACAAATGTCCTTCAATTTTATCTTTAATGTGAAAATGATGAAAAGCAAAAACACAGCACGATGTAGTTAATGCTATATGCAGCCTTTTGAAATGCAGGTTGAAATATTATAACAGTTAGGTAAGAAGAACTCACGGTGAACAGGTCAAAAGTTGCTCCATAATATAATTTGGAGAAATAAATATTGGTAAAATCATAAATAAAGTTGAAGGAAAGTTCAGATAAAATATAAAAAAAAAATTATTATGTGGATAGGCTATACATACATATATATATATGATAATAATAAATTATATAAAAATATATTTTTTTTAAATATTTAGTCATCGAATTTAAGATTCGAAATTAAAATTTTAAAATTTAAATTTTTAATTTTTAATTTTTAATTTTTAATCATTAAATCATTCTTTTAATGTGTTATGTAGATAGTAATAATTAATGAGAAGTAACTTTTTAATATTAAAGACCTTTTCTCATTTAACTGTCTTAATTTTATAATTTAATATAATTTAAATTATAAAATAAAAAATTCATAAGATGTGCACAAATTACATTTTTTTAATAAATAAATTTCTTCTATCTCTTTGTTCATTTTACTTTCAATAATCAAGTATGACCTTGCAAATTATTAAAGGGGCAAAAACTATAATTAAAATAATAAAATTGTTCAATGTTGATATAGTATAATGGTGATCGAGATCTGTGTATGGATGGGGGCTCTCAATAAAAGATAGCAAAAAAAAAAAAAAAAGGGCATTTCCTATTTGTCTTACTTGGTCCTTGTGAACTAGTTATATGTGCACTAATTCCTCTAAGTTTAATCAATTATCATTTTCATAATAAACTACATGGTCGGTCCAATAAGACCAAATAATTAAGTTTTGACCCTGCAGCTTGTCAGTTTCTCACTCACACCCCTCGATTAACTCACAACCTTAATTAAGAAAATAAAGTCTAGTTACCAAGTTTGTATTGATGTCCTTGGCAATTGCTTTAAATTAAGATACTCTTTTTATACAAATGGGGCATGTTATTAGGGTTATAGAATCTATAGGGTTCAGCACTTAGGCTTGCCCACCCTGGTTAACCTTGATTAGATTAGTTTACCAGCTACTCCCTCCACCGCCGGTGTAGTTATAGTTATTATAAAAAAAATATTAAGATAATATATTATTTAGTTTTTTAAATAATATTTAAAAATATTAATTTATTAATTAATAAATATTAATTTATTTATTAATTATTAATTATTAATTATAATTAATAATTATTTTTTATTAATCAAATTAAATAAAATTAATATTTTAAAAATAATTTTTTATAAATTTTGTTAAGTTTAACATTTTAATCAGTGGTTATAATCTTACCCTTTGTTACACAATAATTGTTTTATTAATTTTTTACACGTAATCCTAAGTAATATTTTTATACACCATATAAATTTAAAATTTCTTTTATCAAATGAAATTATTTGATTAAAAATAAAAAAAATAATTACAAGTCATATATGTGACATAAAAGTACAGTATCAACCAAAATTGGGAGCAAAAAATTAATAGGACAATTAATTTAGGACAGGTGTAATAGAATTCTTGACCGGTTGGGTGAACAAAAACAAGTAGAACAATTTTTTTGGACAGTCTGAACTTGAAGGGCCCCTGCAAGAAAATGATGGCATGTTTTTTTTTTGTTTTTTATGGTATTTAGCGTTTAAGTCCTTAAAAAATTTATGACTTTGATGTTGCTATCTCAACAAAATATATATTACGAAGGGTCACTTTCAGTTGTCCGTGGCATTATAGGTCTGCATTAACTTCCCTAGTTTTATAGTCAAATGACACCTCCTATTGACGGTATGAGATGCGTCATTGAAGACTTCAATGTGAATAATATGTATAACTAACCTTAACCATTTAAATAATTTAGTAATAATTTTTTTTTGTTAAAAATAAAAAATTTTAAATTTAAATCATATAATCTATCAGATAAGATAAAATAAAAAATAAAAGAGAATTACCTCTCGTTATACAATCAATATTAAAAAATATATATGTATAACTCATGGTTATAGCCATTGTAAATTTTATTGAGTCATTATAATTGTTAAATTTTTATTTTAATTTAATTATTAAAAATAATTAAACTTGGCCTATGGAATAAGTGAATTATCCATTCAATTAAGATTTGAGAGTTATTGACTTTATTTCCCTTCTCCACTCTCTAAAATTTGTAGTTTGTTAAAAAATAGTAAAAATAATTAATAATTAATAAAATAATTAAAATTTATTAATTAATATATTAAAATTAATTTATAAATAAATATTTTTAAATATCATAATTAATTTTTTAAAAAAATTATAAACTGATAAAATTATAAATGAAATTGATGTTCTTAACAAAACCAATAGTGGGCATAATCTTAATCATATACATGTGTTTTTTTTTTTTTTTTATGTTAGTTGTATAACAAAAAGTAACTCTTTCTCATCTTTTATTCCACCCCATTCAAATATCATGCAGTTTGAATTCTTTTATTATCAATTTGTTCTTTTAAGTAAGATTTATATGTGTTCAGATCCGTTGTTTTTCTTTTCTAATTCTAACCCTTGAAAGGGGCTAATTATGGCATTTGGTTCTCCTGCAAATCACAATTATTGTTTTGATGTTTCGATAAAAGAAAATAAAATTATAAAATATGAATCTTAGATCTGTGTTGTGAATCTTAAAGAAAAAGTAAAAAATGATGTTCCTTTCCATCCTAATGATTTGGCTTCCTTGAGTGTCAGTTGGATCAGAGCATTAGAAGATTATTATTGGCATATTTAAGACTTTATAAGATGCCAAAGTTATGACATTAATCATGAACTTGTACCTTACATCCCTTTTGCAAATTTGCAAATTTAATAAATGAGAATGCTGTCTAACATTCACTACCTAACAATTTAGTAATATGTGATAATGTTTTTCCTATGAAAATTAGACCTAAATATATTAAGTATGAATCGTATAATTTACGGGTAAAGTGATATTTTATATTTGGAAGAGATTGATATAAAACAAACTTTTAAAACTTAAAACTATCATTTTATGGGTATTGTATGTATGCCTTGGAACTGGTCTATGTCACAGAATTACATACCACATGCATCTGTCAAGCGCACACAAACTATGACTCCATGCAAATCTTAACTTAATTTGGCACCCATATTCCAGGAAGAGAATATTGTATAGTTTTGTGGAATAGCTTGAATTCAGGTGAAGATAAGGAAGGAACAAGTGCATGTGCCTTATTCCTAGCCTGTCCAAAGGTACCAAGACATGATTTTTATCTTTGTGACTGGCCTTCCAAGACAAGTTACATATGACCTGTGAACCTTAGAAGAAATCTATGCCCAAAATTTCACAACATGGTTACTTCCTGTCAAAATCATTTCACAGTTAAAAAGAAATACTTATTCTCTGGCTATGAAGTATGGACTCTGCCATCATTCCTATACATTATCAAGGGAACAGCATGTGTGTGTCAGTGTTCTTGCATTGACTCTGAGTTTTTGGGGCCTGAATCCTCAAGATTGTCACACTGAGATGGAATTCTTGGAATTCTAATCTCTAGAAGCGTGTCATTATTCACAGTTGCCTCTGTTTTTCTCCAGTCTGAATCTTCTGGTAGCTCAAGCCTCCTCACAAATCCATACTCCCACCAGTTGCAGCTTCTCCAGTCCTTTGTACTAGTCTCTTTTAGCTGCCTCAACCGCCCACTAATCTCCAGAATTTTCCCATTTTCAACGTAAATTTGTGCATTATTTTTCCCTAATCCTATTTCAACCAACCAAATCATATCATTCATACTAAGAATTCATAACCATATAAAGAAAATTTTGATAAAAATTCATATTCCCTTTTGGAAGCTTATAAATTTCATATTAAACCTCCTACCTTTATGATGGTTACTAACTTACTATTCGTTTTTAGTCCAGACTGATCAAAACATTTAGGATATTACTTCTTGTTGTGTACAGTAAAGTAATGCAATCAAAGATGCTAAATAAAGACTTACCTGGTACTTCTGCCTTGAGTACATAAGCCTGGTCAGTCTGAAACCAATCAACAGTACACTTTCCTGAGTTTCGGAGATTAGACAAGAAGCTGTCAGATTCAAACTCCCACAAAGGAAAACCATCAGAGGGATCAAAGAATTTTCCAAACAACATTGGACTGAACAGGGACCCTTCTCCAAACACCTTGCGCACTGTTTGATTGTCCTGTGACAAAAACCTTCTGAACACATCCTCCGGTAATGAAACGCACCATTTCTGTGGACTTTTCTCTTCTAAAGAATGAACTTCTAGTTTAATGGTGCTAGTCATTGCAAACTATAGCCAAGAACAAAAAATTCTTTGAACTTTCTTAAAGTTTCTTGTGGGTGGGGTTAGAATTCTTATAGTGGGAGATAGCCCTTCAGAGAAAGGGGAGGACAGAACATATTCTCTAGAGGAGATTTGGAAGAGTATTAAAGTGAAACGGAATCATTTTCTTCTAAGATTCTTTCTAAATCAGTGTACTTGATGTGGGAAAAAGGCAATGCTTTTCCCCAAGAATCTTCTGTAGGTTTTCATTGTAGAGTTTGAAGTTCTCTCTTCATCTTTGATTGTCATCCACTCAATCTCCACAACTTTTAACATCTCCCCTGCTAGGTATAAATCAGATCATAAAGAAAATTTAAGGCACAATTAACAAGTGTATGATAAATAAATAATTTTACACTGTTGAAAGAGGGAAAAAAGAAGAAGAGAATATTCGTTTCCAAGTTCATAATCTTTGTATGAAGGGAAGAGGGATTATAAAAAAGATTCTGAATTTGAGTTATAATAATGTTTTCATGGAGGAATTTAGGCACCAATGATGCAAAGATGTGTGAAAGGAATATTATTCAATTTGTGGGGGTGTCAGTTGTCACATTGGAACTTCATTTTCTTCATATAAAGACAATCCTCATCTAAGTCTTTTTAAATTTCAAAGACAGTAATACATTTCTGTGGGCAGTTGGGCAGTGCATCTGATCTTGGCATCTAGAGAGGTACTTTTTTACTCTAGTATCTTCATGATTGCTGTTTAGGCTCCTAACCGTGGAAATACCGGAGCCACTTTGGATGGTGGGATATGGACACATAAGTCTCCATTATTGAAGATAAATGCAGTTCCTTTAACCATTTTCCTGGGAAAATTCCTCACTTTTCCCCCTAACCAAACACTGTCATGGAGATTAGCCACATGCTATATAATTTGAATAAAGTTGTCAATTGGGTAGTGTGAATCCAGATCAGGTCATCTTTCTTAAAAAGCTGCAATGCTGAGTATTATAATAGGATGAAAAATATAAGACATATGATATACATGCAAGGGTGAGCTGCACCAGAAATCTGGAGTCAGATCAGAAGTCTTGGTTTTAAGATGAAGGAAATAAAAGAATGAATTTCTTGAATAACAAATAATAATAACAGGAATCAAAGTACTAACATTCACCTGATTGGAATCAAAATATTTTTCTTCCTGTCAAAAAGTTTATGAATGTGTGGCATCTGATTTCAAGACTGCCTTGGTAAACATTCCAATTTTCAAGTCATGAATATCACCAGAGACTGTCAACAAAGAATTACAAGTTAGGGGGAAATATAAAAAGATCTGCCTGTCTAGGTCTGGCGGAGTAAGAAAGAGAGAAACTGAATATCAACCTTGAACCCAATCCTCAACAATCCTCAGATCTTGATATACTCAACCATACTATGGTGATGTTAGCTATGCTATAATCTAGGATTCAAGTATGAACTCCATTTTCTTGTTCCTTTTCTTCTGATCATTTGGATGAACTCCTTTAGTCAACCAAAAGAGGCATCTAATCTCTAGGAATTTCATTTTCTACTTTCAACACAGTAGGGATCAAAAGAAATAAGGAACCTGAGATCACATCATCAATAAGAAATGACAGTCATGTTCAGAACAAAGTTTATCACCAATGCAAATTGCACTACCTTTTGCAATAAAATTGCCATCAACTTTCGTCATCTGAGCTAGAACTAGAATCAGAATTATCCATCTTTCTTTCTGCAATAGCAGGAAAAAGCTTCTGATAAGGATCAGGAAAAGGAGGGGCAAAACGAGATTTGGAGAGTGGTGAGGCATCGCATGGCGTCTGTTTTTTAAGTGCTTGTGTTGGCTTTTTTGGTTCCTCTCCTATCCCTTTGCACACGTTATCCAATATTATCAAGAAGTCACTCACTACAGTAAACAAGTGTAAGCCGTCATCCTTCCCTGCCTTCCCATGGAAATAATCACCAGTGCTCTTCACCAAAGCCATTATTCTCTTTTCTTCTTCCAGCAATGACATGATATCACCCTCAGCACTCTGCACAAAACTATTTAATGATTCATGAAACCCACTTTCTTCCTCTGCACTCTTCATCTCAGAGTTTAGAAAATCGCATGCTTTTATGAGTTGATCACCAAGTTTGGAAACTGTCCCTGTCAAGTTGTCAGCATCTATAGCTGCTGCTTTCTTGACGTTTACAAGATCACCACTCAAACCTGATACCACCTGAAGACCAATACTGCCATAGTGATCCTCTGTGTCATCAGTAACTTCCTGAAGAAGATCCTCTGTTTTGATGCTGTCGAAACTTTTGCTCTCTTTTGCAGTACGGGCAGCCCTCACACCTTCAGTACGTATTATTTCTTGTACAACAAAGTGCAAGAGTGTTGTCTTGCCATCTTTTCCTTTTACATCTGATAATTTTAAAAGCGTGTCAAGTTTGAAAGCTTGTGCATCCCCACGCAATGTTCCATCATTCATCCTATTTCCAGTTTTAAGAACAGCTTCTAAAAGCTTGAGGAACAAGCGACTACTTCTGAGTTCTTTGCAAGCAACCTTCAAAATAATAAAAGATTGACTGTGAATGAGATATGCACACGCAAAGGCACTGCACCAGGACTGCCATATAGATTAAGTTTATATACAGAAGTGAGTGAGAGCAACTAGAAGCTAAACTAGATGACAGTGTGTTACCATTAGTAAGCTATTGAGTGCTTATTACAGACTATCAAAATTGCATCCAACATTATAATGTATGACATGCGTCATGTGAATCATCAAAATCAAAGAGCGTGTAAATAATGCAATTTGTAACACCATGTTTACCTGTAAGGTTTGAAAGGACTCTCTACTAGCAGCAATTTCCACATTAACAGAGCACATAAAAAGAAGTGTTTCCATTCATTTAAAAGCAAATGGGATGTCAACCAGGTTTTTCATAAATCGATCAGCAGGCCCAAGTTGAGAAAGTTCACCAGCAAACAGTCTAAGTTTGAGTTCTTCATCTGCTCTAGGTGCCATCTTCAAGAAAGTTTGAAGGAGATCAGCAGGTAGCTCATTTCCTGATTTAGTTAAGACAGGTTAGAAAACTATGATCAATAACACAACATACATTCACGGCACTAAAATTTGACAAGTAAAAGGCATATGACACCAAGTATCAGTAACACTGTCTATCATAAATAAGGTGATCAATATAAATAAAAGAGCAGTTCTCTTAAATGATCTTCTCTTTAAGAAACATTTTCTGCTTCCAGATATTCTGGAAAATGTTCTGAGATCCATACGTGTATGAATGTATCTGTCCAGAATGTTGGCATTTCAATAGAAAAACAACAGGTTTAATGTGACACATGCATGCTAAGCATTTCATTAGAGAAACATTATCCTCTTCAAACCAAACAGCTAAACTTCTATTTTCTCAAATAATAAATCCATCTAGTCCAAGGGAAAGTGTTCTTAATAGTTTGATCATTAATCCAAAAGTCCAGTAATCCAATTCAATCTAGAAGTATTTTGGGAATTATCAGTAATGGTAAAGGCATTGGTCTGACAAACATGAGAATTAAGGTTCTAATCTTGAGAGTAGCCATGTGGCCAGGTTGCTACAGGGTATAACTCCATAAGTTCACCTCTCCAAGGATCCCACTTCAGCAGGCCGACAATTGAGTAATAACTTCAACTTTCCCATTGAAAGAGCCTATCTTGTGGTCAACTGGGCATCTTATATTCAGGTGAAGTTAAGGTACTGATTCATTCTTGTACCTTGGAAACCTGAGACACTGGATGTGTTTCAGACAAATTTTCATCTACTAAACATTCACAGTATATTAGCTAGAAACTGCACTGCATCAGCATATAATAACTAGGACTATTAGGTAAATAAGGCTAGATGTCTTAAAAAGAAACAAACGACCTGCACCATTTAAGAAATGTGATTAAACTTCTCCAGAAAAGAGAATGAAATTTATTAATAATTTTCAGAAGTTTTTTGAAGACCACCAATTAAATCAATAGTCTGATAGGATTCTTTCCTAATACAGTAATAGTTAACAATAATATCTCTAATCTTAAAGCACAAAATCATAGTCAATGAAGACCCTGCTTGGGAGTTTATTCAACCAGCAACTTATTTCTATGTTGGTCATTTATCATGATTCTTGTTTCTTTCTTTTTTTCCTTTTCCTTTTTTTTGTCTTTCCTTTCTCTCCCTTAGAAAAACTCCTGGATACCATCTCGTAGCCCTATGTCTGTCAAGCAAATTTCTAGAGTGGAAAATAAGGGGGAGAAAGTCACCTTCTCGAAGTGCATCACAAACTCTTCTGTTGTCACATCCAATGCTCGCAAAAGGATTGATAAATTTTGTGCTTTCTTTGGATCAAGAATTTTGAATAAACTGGGGTACATTCTCTGAAGAAAAGCTTCTCTTTCTCTCCTGTTTGTTCTTATCAACGGGAGCAGACCCAAATAGAGATTCTATCATCTCCTCATTGAACCTGTAATTTCAATGTCTAGCAGCCTATTTAATGAGTGATGGGAAGGGAGTAAAAGGAATGAAGAACAGGTAACTTTACTTACTGGAATGATCCAG